AGTAAAGCACCCATTCTGCACGGCAGAGTAAACAAAGCACCATGTGCCCAGGGCCACGCCCAGCAGACCATCAGCGTGCAGCTCCTGGCAGTGCGGAGGCTGGATGGGCCTGGAGAGGGCTAACATCTGCTCTTTGTCTCACAGCCTCCTGAGCAGCCCCCCTACCCACACCACCAGGGTGGGCCACCCCACTGCCCACCTTGGAACAACAGCCATGAGGGCATGTGGGGTGAGCAGCGTGGGGACCCCGGCTGGAACGGCCAGCGCGACGCACCCTGGAACAGCCAGCCCGACCCCAACTGGAACAGTCAGTTCGAGGGCCCCTGGAACAGCCAGCACGAGCAGCCGCCCTGGGGTGGTGGCCAGCGAGAGCCGCCCTTCCGCATGCAGCGGCCACCACACTTCCGCGGGCCCTTCCCACCCCACCAGCAGCACCCACAGTTCAACCAGCCACCACACCCCCACAACTTCAACCGCTTCCCGCCCCGCTTCATGCAGGATGACTTTCCCCCGAGGCACCCCTTCGAGCGGCCCCCCTATCCTCACCGCTTTGACTACCCTCAGGGGGACTTCCCTGCTGGTGAGTGTTTTGCATGTTTGAGGTCCAGTACACACAGCCCTCTCCTGCCCCTGGTTCCTGGAGAAGTCCTGGTTGCCTGCCTGGAGGAGGCACCTGACAGATTGGTCTCCTGAGCAGGCTGATGGCATTGCTCTTGGTCTTTGGTGTGCCCCTGATGTGCCCGGAGGCTAGGTCATAGGCAGAGGGTCATGGGATGACAGCGGAGAATAGACCACACACCAAGCAGTAGAGGGGTAACACTTTGGTCCCTCCTCGTAGGAATAGGGCACTGTCTCTGTCCTGCAGAGAAGGGCAGATAGATTCCAAAAGGAGAAGTAACCCCCAAGTGCCCATAGCAACAGGCACCGAGTCCAGGGCCCACACCGCTGTCATAGGATTGGTTTCCCGTTCCTTGTCTCAACAGTTTTCATCAGCTTTCCTACTTGATTATTGTTTTTCAGAGTCTTTATTTTTGTTAACTTTCTCTTTTTAAAATAAAATTTTAAATATGTTTTTATTGATTTCAGAGAGAGGAAGGGAGAGAGAGAGAGAAACATCAATGATGAGAGAAAATCAGCGATTGGCTGTGTCTTGCACATCCCCAACTAGGGATGGAGCCCAAAGCCCAGGCATGTGCTCTGACTGGGAATCCAACTGTGACCTCCTGGTTCATGAAATCGATGTTCAGCCACTGAGCCACACCAGCTGGGCTTAAAAGAATTTTATTCTTACTGTATTACTGCCTCTACCTTAAAACCCTCCATTGGTTATAAATTCAGCTCGGAGATCACTTAGCATGTATATTGTGTTAACATCCTGGGGTAGCATGACAGTCCCACAGATTGGGTGGCTCCAACAACAGTTACTGTTTCCCAGTCTAGAAACAAGGTTAGTTTCCTCTAATGTCTCTCTCCTCGACTTGTAGATGGCTACCTTCTCCCTGTGTCCTAATCTTTTTATCTCTTTCTACCTGCCTGTGTCCTAATCTTATAAGTCATATTGAATCAGGGCCCACCCATATGACTTCATTTTAAGTTAATTACCTCTTCAGAGGGAAAGTTAGGACTGGTGGTGGTGAATGCGGGGTCAGGGGTGGGGAGGAGATACAATTTAGCCCATAACATTGCTGTTAGAAGGTGCTGTGATTTCCCTATGGTTCCTCTCCTCGACTTGTAGATGGCTACCTTCTCCCTGTGTCCTAATCTTTTAAGTCATATTGAATCAGGGCCCACCCATATGACTTCATTTTAAGTTAATTACCTCTTCAGAGGGAAAGTTAGGACTGGTGGTGGTGAATGCGGGGTCAGGGGTGGGGAGGAGATACAATTTAGCCCATAACATTGCTGTTAGAAGGTGCTGTGATTTCCCTATGGTTCCTTCTTTAACCTACAAGGTCCATCAGGTGCTGCTGTGGGTGCCAGCCCCCTTCGAGCCTCTGCTCCTCCCCTCTTGCTGCATTGCCTGAGCAGTGAGTGAAGCAGTGCGAGGGGAGGTGATGGAAGGGCTGCTCAGAAAGTGGGTGTTGGCATCCTTGCTCCTCTCTGAGCTCCTTGGTGCCACCTGGCTCATAAATTCCCTGTGAGCCTGAGAGAAGTTTCTGTTTTGCAGAGATGGGACCCCCTCACCATCACCCTGGCCATCGCATGCCACATCCTGGGATCAATGAACACCCGCCCTGGGGGGGACCCCAGCACCCCGACTTTGGCCCTCCTCCCCATGGCTTCAACGGGCAACCGCCCCACATGCGGCGACAGGGCCCTCCCCACATCAACCACGATGACCCCAGTCTGGTCCCCAACGTTCCCTACTTCGATCTCCCCGCCGGGCTAATGGCCCCCCTTGTGAAGGTAAGGTCTGTGGTGAGTGCCACGCTGAGCGGGACAGGCTCGGGCCAGTGCCTCTGCCTCCATGTGAAAGGTTCATAGATGAAACTAATTCCCCGTAGGCTACAAAACTGCTTCCCCAGGCCACTTCCCCCATTTCCCACTCCCCAGTGAACTCGACCAAGCCCGTCTGTGAGAATGCACCTGATTGCGTGAGGCCCGTGTCCCCTGATCCCTCTGCATCTTTCTGGTGCTATGAGTTTGGTGCCACTTGGGGCAGGCTGGATTGGGCATGAGGCACGGGTCCTCTTAGTAATGGTTCTTGGAAGCCACCTTGTCCAGGGGTTGACGGCAGAGGGGTTTTTCAGGAAAGGGGCAACCGCTGAGGTGTGCCTTCATGGAACCTGGGAATGCATGTGAGGGGTGAGGTGAGCAAGGGGCTGGGACAGGCAGAGGGACCAGCGGATGAGCCAGTTCCTGGGCTGGGCTAAGGCTCCTGATTGTGGGAGGGCCCTCAAGGGAGATACCAGAGCTCTGGGTAGGAAGTCAGGGCACAGGGTGGCACCTGCAGGCAGAGCATTTGGGATTCACAGCGTGTCTGTGAATGAACCAGGGCTCTTTCTGTCTCCTTTCCTGAAGGCCGCCATGTCTTCTGTGTTCATTTTTTTGGAGAAAGAATTCTCTGGCTTTTATCAGCCTCAAAGAGGGTGGGCCTTCCAGCGAGGGCTGGGTGAGCACCCTGATGCCCAGGGCAACCCTAACCCAAACCAGGCCCTGTCTCCTGGGTGGGCCTGATGGCTCCAGCAAGATGTGGTGACAACTGTGTTCTCCACTGCAGCTAGAAGATCACGAGTACAAGCCTTTGGACCCTAAAGACATCCGCCTTCCCCCTCCCATGCCACCCAGTGAGAGGCTGCTGGCGGCCGTGGAGGCCTTTTACAGCCCTCCTTCCCATGACAGGCCAAGGAACAGGTACGGGGCCTGGGGAGACCCAGCAGTGGGGCCAGTGGTGGGAGGGGGGTCTATCCCATCTCCCAACCTGTCTTCCCCCAAGTTTGCTTCACAAGAAGGACTCTTACCATCCATACCTTCTACCCAGCATGGTGTGAGGCCCAGGTGAGGAGTGTGGTGTCTCTAAGAGAAATGGCATTATAGGGTCCGTTTCTCTCCTGACTATGGGTGGTGTGTGTCACACAGTGGCCCTTGATGAAAGGCTTCTCTGTTTGGGACTCGTTATCTTGCTGCACGTCCAGGCTTTGTCATGGGTCCCTTTCAGGATACCCTCCCCCAAAGGCCTTATCACCAGCCCAGCTGACATTGCTTCCTTTCCTGTGCCAGGCACAGGTTGCCATCTGAGTCACAGCCCCTGGTTCCCAGTTACGATTACCACAGGCCCTAAGACCCTCAGCTCTGTCTTTCCACTGCAGTTCAGAGGGGCCGAGAGCCAGTGGTGTCAGGTATAAGCCCAGTCTCTCCACCTCCCAGAGGTGTCCCGGCCTCAGCCTGCTTCCTCATCTGAGAAAGGGCATCCCGTGGAAATGACAGCCCCAGTGCTGTCTGTGGTGGCACGCACGCCGCATCCCGAGGGGGGGGGGGGGTGGGGC